TNTCACAGCAGAAATGAGCTGGTGACCAGTGGTGGAGCCAAAGGGGAGGCAACCGCCTCAAAGACATATTTTTCTGGCAAAAATCTCATAACTGGGTTAGAAATTCAGGCAACCTCAGATATTTTCCCCACTAACCCTCTCGCGGACGTAAGCCTGGCTCCGACACTGCTGGTGACAATCCCATATGATTCCTCAATACCTTAGTTGTTTTACTGCCAACCCCAAGATCTATTCCTTTGGTCATTCCTGTTATCATACAGGGATACAGACCAAGTAAGCCCAATTACTATTTCAAATCTTTTGTTTTCTGATAAAAACTAAAAAATATCAGACAATGAAAACAATATGAAATTGAAATGTTATTGTTATTAGATAGAAGAACATCATGCTATTGGCTATCTGGGCTCAACGACATAAACGACGCTGTTAATTTCTGAAAAACTCCAGAAAAATCTTAGTAAGCATCAACCATATTCCCCTGTCATTATTTTCTATTATATTATCAAGGAAAACTCGAATCACCCCAATTAGGACTAACTTGTCAATCTAATTAACCACCGAAAGCTGAATTCAGAATCTTACTGCTCCGTAGAGACCTTTCATAAGATGAGATTTTCAGATTGACATTAAAGCATGGGCTAATTAATTAAGATAGACATAAAATCTCATTAGTACAAAATATCTTTTTGACCATTCACCTCGGATTTACATTGGACATTGATCTTTTGAAAATACCATATTAAAAAATTTAAAAAAAAAAGCATAATAAAGACATTGCGCTTTGGTCTTTCAAAAATAAAAATTGAAAATTCAGAAAAAATTATACACTTTCTGTTGTTGGAAAGTAACAATTAAAACAAAATTCAGAAAAACATCAGTTGTTGGAAAATAACAATTGAAAGAGACAAGAAAAAATACAGTTTAGGTTGAAAAATATTTCACAATTTTCTTTCCCATTAATTCATTAGTAGTAGAAATAAAATCACATCTCAGACAGATTCCCCCAAGAGGTAGAGATTTAACCTCATCAGCATAAAATTTCATTTAATGATTCATTCACCTTAATGGATCAAAATCCAAGACCAACAGCTACATGTAAATTTGAGATTTAAACGTATACAACCTCTCCCCATAAAAATTGAAATTTAACTTGGCCAAATTGAGTCTTTGCTCATCCGTGGACTTACTTAGTGTCCTAACTATACAACAGAATCTCTCTATAATCTAATAAATCCATTAAACTAAGTAATAATTCATTAAACTAAGTAATAATTCATTAAACTAAGTAATAATTCATTAAACTAAGTAATAATTCATTAAACTAAGTAATTATTCATTAAACTAAGTAATTATTCATTAAACTTAAATGATTTTGAAACATGCTCTGAAGCGTTTTCCATAATTATTTAGTTTAATAGATATATCATGTTATATAGAGATTCTATTGTATTATTTAGTCATGACACTTGGTAAGTCCAACTGATGAATATAAACACTTATTGACCAAGTTTGAGAGTCACTTATTGACCAAGTTTGAGAGTCACTTATTGACCAAGTTTGAGAGTCACTTATTGACCAAGTTTGAGATAAACATTGGATATGAATGATTCCAAAAAAAAAACATTACTGCTAAATAGATCTGGACATAAGTCTTCATTATAGAGCAAAAAAAATGCTTGATTAACAGTTTCACTACAAACTGAGTTTAAATTGAAGAAAGGGTGGAAAGAACAAAGGCAAAGATAAACAGGAAGTTCTGAAAGTTCAGAACATTAGCTAGAAAAATATGTCAAGTTTCTGGTAGGTAATTGAATGATAGACATTAGTATTCATTAGTACTAGTAGAGCAGCACAAATTATCACTTTGTTGACAACTTTATCTGGACAGAATTCCAAATAGAATCAACTAGCAAGAACATAAAGAAGACTTTACAGATTACAAGACCAATTCTGAAATTCTCAACAAAAAAAATTTCTAGCAGCAAGCTTATTCTTTAAAAAAATATTCAACAATTTTACTTCCAGTGCCATTAGGGCTTGAAACCTTCTGTAGTAATGAATCTAGAAAAACTTTCAAATATCCTTTTAAAAACTTGCACAATATCAACTGATCTGTTCGCTTATCTAGCTCGTTAGGATAATTATCCTAAAAAACCTGTACTTTGATTTCTTAAGGCAATTTTTTTTTTCAATAAATCAGATTTGTAACATATAAACCTTCTAGGCTATATTTATCGACAAAAATGCATCTCAAACTGATAGGCTAGTTTCCAATTAGAGAATTCAAAATAAATAAACCTGCACCAAGTGTATAGCAGGGAAACTGGCTGATTAGGGGGTACTAGTAAACTGGGAAAATATTCTTCTATATAAAGACAGTGTTAATAATAATAATAATAATAATAATAATGATATTTATATTGCGCAGTAATTTAATCCTCTTGGAATCTTTCAAACTTTGATAAACCATGAGGATAAATACATATAATAAAATGCCTAAGGTCACAGAAAATGAGTGCTTTAGTACTTAATAGATTTCTCGGAATACTATTGTACTCTTCAAAACTGATGAACAGAAATAATTGAATATTTTCAGCTTTACGGCAAGTGCTGAGAGTTTTGTGAAATGGTTTGTAATATCATTGTTATGTGGGTATACACAAGAAGTGTTCCAGAAGAAAGAAATCTGCCCGAACCAATGAAGTTATGAAGTCAAAGAAGAAAATACAATAGAAGTCTCGTAAAAACTAGTGATCCTCCCATATAGTTGTAGCAAATACTAGTAATATAAGATGAAAAAGAAAGTTTAATATATCTGCCAGGAACAATGAAGTCAATATAAAAAATACAATAGAATAAACCAAACTATGTCTTTAATCTCAACTCTTTATTTCCTAAACATTTAGCTCTATTATAAATAACTTTCTATTGATGTATTGCATGTTTTTATTACAATGAATCATAAAACAGTTTATAGTTATATCATTAAAGGGATAGCTTCCTCTAATTTTTTGATAGAGATCAAGTTAAGTTACTCATATTGTATTTTTCAGAAAAAACGGTTTAGTTATTTCATTAAAGGTATAGATTCCTCTAATTTTTTGATAGAGATCAACTGAAGTTACCAAAAGACGGTTTAGTTATTTCATTAAAGGGATAGCTTCCTCTAAGAAAAGAAAGAAAGAAACAACTATATTTTACACCAACTATGCCCCTGACTTAATTTGGTAAATAGAATATTAGAAAAGTAAAAATAACACTTACCGAACTAGAAGAAAATAGATTTCCGGTCGTGTTGATATCTCCTTAAATAAAGCTACGAATTCCTCACTGTTTAATCTGCTCCGTAAACCATCACCTCTCTTCATCTGAAGTTCCTGAAATTACACAGAATCATCACTTTAAAGATGATGTCTCAGATAGATCTGTTGCAGCTATGATTACTTCCTCAATTGAAAAAAATTCAGATTCACCTTATTAAAATCAGTTTTTTGAAAGCTTCATCAGAAGCCTTATTCTTGAAAACTTAACTTACGATAATTTTAGTGTTCCAGTCATCTGATTGGTCAATCACTTAGATTGATTTTAAATTTAGTTTTATTATCCAATCAGATTACTGTATTTCTTTAAATCTGGATTTTATTTATGTTAAGTTTTGAAGAATAAGACCTGAGGACTAAATCTACTGTGTTTTAATACACTGTTAATGAATATTTTGAACAAGTGTGCCATGGTACGTCTAGTGAGAACTAGCTAGAACAGTAGAGGAATAGGTGTATCATTCTTCAATATACTTACTAAGATACAAATATAGATTTCAGAGAAAAAAGTAATCCAAAAAAAGGGGAAAAAAAAAATTGTAAGAGCTCAATAAAATAAACATTTCTTAGTTATTGACAAATCAGATTACATTCCAAAAAGTCAAGTTTTTGTCCCCTTGGGAGGAAAACTGATGATGTACTTTTAGTTTTATTTACATAATGCTAGCTGATTGCCTTGACATTTTACTCCTAGCCTATAAACAGACAACAAGACAAGATTCACCACAAATCAAAGACATTCTTTTCCATTATCAATATTATAATAATAGAAGTAGAAATTATTATAGTGATTATAGTTATTTTAACTCTAGTTCAACATTGACCTGAATCTTACACAACTCTACAGTTTTTAGATCGTTTCCCTACAGAATATTTATAAAAAACGCTTTCAGAAAATTATTCTATCTCAAAAAAATG